GGATGCTTCCGATATATATCGAATTGATGTATTTTTTCCATCTCATTTTTTGCATCCCATTTTGTATTTGTACCACTGATATTAATTTCTTNTCGAATTGATGTATTTTTTCCATCTCATTTTTTGCATCCCATTTTGTATTTGTACCACTGATATTAATTTCTTTGCTTCAGAATGCCAATTCTAAATATATAAAAAAAGATAAAGAGAAATATAAATATAATTGAAGTTTTCTTTGACAAATTGTGCTTTATTATCGATATTTTATTTGAAGCCTTGAATCTTGTTTTCGCTTCACCATTAAATAAGAATTGACCAGCAGTTATCTATGTCATTTTGGAATCTGTTATTAAAAACTATCAAGTACTTTCTTACTCGAGAGTAAAAAAAACATCGAAATCATCTATGTTTTTATATATTATATCGAAATTCATTGATATATTTTTTTAACTTTCATCTCTATGACAAGCATAAAGATTAGAAAGAGTCGAATTGGGTTTTTTTACGAAGCAAATAGAACGGACTCGTACTATTATGTTGAAAAGAGATCAATAGTATACGAATTAGAAAGAGTAGAATGTGATATACCGAGACAGCGAAGTATGCATATTGGTGTGTGGTACCAAGTGAATTTTTGGTTATTCGGGTTAAAAATAAAGAAGAGTACTCATGCTGGCAATAGATGGCAAGATATAAGCTCTGATCATGATTCAATAATACAAGGTTCGATAAACTGACAGTTGTCTCTCTCGCACCGCTCCCTTAGCAGTGCCACCGTGTTGCTTCTTTGCAAATTTACATGGAAACAGTGTAGCTTTGGTGTGAAATAAAAGTATAAGCTTTTGTGCAATATGTTTATTTGTATATGCATATGAAGCATATTTAACTGATGAAAACATAAGCATTGGATGTTTGCATCAATCTCATAGTAGTCTTATTTTAATTTTGAGTCATTTTGCAGTTTTTATACGGCTAAATAGCATATAAATTACGTAATTCACGTAGATATATCAATATTACGTTCAACATTTCGTTTAAAATGCCAGATTTCCTGCAAATACATTAGAATTTACGAAAGGAATTTCACTACTAATTGCCTACTTTGCGTACTTTTCTACTACCATTTTCGAAACAAGGGATTGCATTCTTGCCCTTTCTCTGTCCTTCGTAAATGCAACCTTTTGTAAGGGAGTGTCAAACCGCAGCTGTCAATAATTATCTAACCTTGTATTATTGAATCATGAGCTCTGATATATATTGCTCTTGAAGAGCAATGAGCGGTCTCCATTGGCAAATTATATTCTGTCATATGTATCAAAATATAAACTTTATCCTGTGGAGACGGGCAGTCACATTGCTGGCTGGTCATCACCGTCATCACCTATTTTACAACGCTTTTATTCGTACTTAACTCAACTCGATAAATCACTGTGTGTGGGCCGCTTAATTACGTGCGATTATAACGGCTTATCCCATGGGGTTATCCGCATATCCTACACAACCAATATGGCGTAATTTTTATTTCCGAACAAGTTGAAAATAAAAAGGAACAGAAGTTTAGAATAAATTCCTGATTTTATTTTTTACAGAACCCTTCATTTACGAATATGCTATAATTTAATTCGATTAACTACAAACATGGCATCCGCCATATCCGAGTGGTTAGAAGTGCGTTCTTACACCCGATAGGACCGAGGTTCGTTTCCTCGTCCGAGCAACATCCCCAAAAGAATATTTTTCGAATATCGGCCGACCCTCAGCAGGCAATGGAAAGCCGCGGAGTGTTTTTCTGTTAATAAAAGTATTCTCATAAAAGCCATTTACCAATTGGAGTTTGCCAATGCCCGGCATGTGGAGAGTCGCCACATTACTCCCGGCACAGCCCCTTTGGAAGTAGCACACTTCCTGGGCCTCCCCCTAGCTGAAATTGAGGACAACGTTGATGGATGAACCGCCCCGAACGGGACTTAGTAGCCGCTACAACAAGAAAAACCAATTGGAATTGGCATAAAATTGCAAGTCCTTCCATTTGTGTAATAACATTGAGACCGGAGCCATAAATTGGAGAATTTGGCCAAACATAAAAAAAAAATTAAACCCCCACTTTTTGTTTACACGAATTTTTGGCCGTTTATCCCACCGTTGGAAATTAAAACTCAACTAGCATTGGAATACCGTAAATAATTTTAAATATATGTACATACATACCTTCCTTTATGCGCCATCAGTGGAAAATAGCCTGTTTTATACTATTCCTTTACTATTCAACGCCTCCAGCTCATGCCGTATATCAAAAAACTATAAGCACACTGTACGAGAGGAAGCAAAACATTTGGTGTTCTTGACATTTTCCGAAACTTCATTTCATTTTGTTACTTTTTTCACATTTGCCGCAAGGCTTTTGTAAAAATAAAACTTCATCAAACTTCTTGATGAGCTCTGAAATTCTTCCGAACATGTGTGAAGCTGTGCTAGAAAGGGCTCGCCTACAAAAGGAAGGCGCTAAGCGGAAATATCAATTATTTAAAATTGAAAATATGACCGTTACATCACCACCAGTACTGAAAGTCTATTATTGGGAATATTTCGACATAGATAAGTAAATATTTACAAATATACATACATACGTACATATATGGAAATAAGCAAATATTTTACTTTTATTATTCCACTTTCCACAGACTCAACATGGAAATTCATAATGATGGCAGTAATTTCCATCATGACATTGTAATGCCAATGCGCCAAATCAATAGTCGTCCGTTGAAAATTGTACTCTGGATACGAAATTTGTCCGACAAAAATATCGATATCCGTTTAAAACGCATTCAACAATGCAATTGTGTTCCTCTGGAAACGCGCGTGGGTTTCAATCAGTTCCGGCAGTTATTTCACTGCCCACACAGGCGTCTTATACACATTCTCCAGGAGGCCATACACATGAAGCCAGACGATTTGGTAGCGATGAGGGTCGTTTTTTATTATTTTCTGTTGGGCGAGCATACGCTCACATATGTATTCAAGTAAGTGACGAAATGAAAAGGCCACTCATAAAATATGTATGTACATAGATACATATACTTTTTAAAATACAGCTGCTCTGATGATCGCGTTATTACGGTGAACTTTAAACTCAATGTTATCGGTTTCGATCCGAACGCTTGCGTTATGACAAAGGAGCTTATACCAACCAATTTAAGGGAACATCGCCGCTTCGTTCAACCGATATGGGTACGGAACATAACGGCACAACATTTGAATTTCGTATTTTCGACCCGCGAACGAGGTTTGAAATTATTAAATCCGAACTTAACTGTACCCCGACTGAGTGTATGGCCTTTAATGGTGGAATATAGGCCGAGTGATGTAGAAAATGAGGTTTGGTTAAGATTTGGTAATTTTTTTACTTAAAACGTGGTACAAAAGTAATACTAATTTCAGCTCGAGTTCAACTTGAACTATGAAAATACCCGTACGAAATTCACTGTTAAAGCAATGGGTTATCTAAACAAAATGGACGATGAACCGGAGGTTCCTATTGAGGATTATCAATGTTTAGATTTCCCTTATGTTATTTATCCCAATATGCTTGAATTCGATATACAACGCTTAGAGCAAAGAAGTTTTATGGTCGCAATACATAACTACAACCAAAAATGTGTTGAGTTTCGTTGGCAAAAGTATGTCATAATAAACTAATACAATTCTAAACTCCCAATGACTCCTAATATTTACATAAAAACTTATATCTGTATCAGCTACTTTATCAGCGACTTATTTGAAGTAACTTTTGAGCCGAAAATATTTCGTGTTAAGCCACATCATTCCAAACTATGCGTAGTAAATGTACGTGCTTTTGAACGCGGTCTATTCTTTAAACGCATTCCATTAGCTTTGGAAGTCCATCGCGTTCTCGATAAATCAACGAAAATTGCAAAGGAGCTCTTGGAAGAAGTTGAGTCTATCGATGATCCCAAATGGAAAGAGCCCAGCTATATTGAGCACATATATTTACATCTAAATCTGAAAGTAAATTTTAAACCTGTGGAAAATGTAAACATTACTTGGGATCCATCACCACCAAAATGTGAGCATTTATCGATAAAAACATCAAATACAACTATTTTCGAAAAATTATTCTGGGAGTATTTATCTGAATCGAATTTTATGCGGCCAACGGCTTCCCAAGATATTAATGATGAGCTCAGTTATGACGACGTTATACGACTGCATTCCGGTCCATTACCCTTTATAAAAACCATAGATATCAATCGCAAGTATGTATGTTATTACTTTGTACATACTATGAAGCTAACAGCAATTTTATTTTCTTGATTTCTTATGCATATTGCAGTGGCATTCTACAAATTATCAGTCAGCTAATCGCCGAATCTCTTCGTGATTTGTCTAAGAATTGGCGCTTCATCCCGGTCGAATATGCTGAAGACCCTCAATAACACACTAAGCTTATCAATACCGACTACGCAAATTATGCCAATACAGTGATAGCGGTAGCATCGAATCTCGTTGCAAGCATTTTTGATCGGTCAATCTAACA